GCTCACTATGTGCCAGGACGGTTCTGAGCACTTTCTGTACGTTACCTCTTGCGATTTTCATACTGATCCTGGGAGATGCTATTATTACCTCCACTCTAGAACTGAGAAAACAGAAGTATAGAGTGTTATACGAGCTTCCTAAGGTTCCACAGGTATGAGAGCTGAGCTAGGACTTGAACCCAGGCAAAAAAGATTGCTCCCCACTGCTGTTTCACCTGTCAGCTCCCCTGCTCCCGGCTTGTCTCGGAGGCAGCAGCTAAGGCTGAGGATCTGTTTAATGGCCCAGCCTCGCTCCCGGAGCCAGTGTGACCTCCTCCTCCTCTGAGCCTTCATAGCGGTCACGAGTCTCTCTCCAGGCATCTGTCCTAATCTTTCATGAGTTCTAGCCTGGCACTTAGGAGTGCGCTCAGAAAATTGTCTCGTTTCTCCTTTTAAATCCTCTTTGGTCAGATAATAAGGAGTTTCCTTAACTTACAACCCTTTTCACTAGAGCTGTGTTAGATGGGAAGAAGTGTTTATTACTTTAAGGACTTCAGAAAAAAACGATGTTAAGGCCAACCACAGTGTTGGACTGCCTCCTGAGCTCGGTCTTTCGTGTGCCTCTGCACCCTCAAGTGAGAGGCACAGCTGAAGCTCCTCTTGGCAATGGAGAAACTGAGCTGTGGAGAGTGTAGCGTAAATACCCCTCTGTAGTTGAGGGTAGCTTAGCTTCCCATGAATATTTTCTTTTCTTTTTCTTTTTCTTATATAGTATTTGATACATGGAAAGTTATATGCACGTGTGTGTTTGTGAATTTTGAAGTCTAAAAACTAAATAAATATCTGTGCGCCCACTTCCCAGTTTAAGAGCCTGCACATTCCCAATCCCATTGCAGCTACCTTGCCCCTCCTGTCCCATTGCCCACCTCCCCGCTAAGGTGCCCACTAGCTGGAATTATCATTGTCTTGCTTTTTACAAATTAAGGTTTTACCAAATATCTGTATATCCTAATATATTGTTTAGTTTTGCCTGTTTTCAAATAAATGTTTCCTTTTTTTTTTTTTAATTTATTTTTCCCCCAAAGCCCCAGTAGATAGTTGTATGTCATAGCCGCACATCCTTCTAGTTGCTGTATGTGGGAAGTGGCCTCAGCATGGCCGGAGAAGCGGTGCGTCGGTGCGCGCCCGGGATCCGAACCCGGGCCACCAGTAGCGGAGTGCACGCACTTAACCACTAAGCCGCGGGGCCGGCCCCAAATAAATGTTTTCTTAAACATCATTTATTTTTTTTTTGCCTGAGTCCAAGAAAACAATATCTGTAAATGAAACAGTTACAGACTTCCTTTTTTTTCGTTTAACTCCATTTGACGTAATTATGTCTGGGATACAATCAGGCATTGGACTGAAGCAGAACTGGGGAGTGGAAAAGTGATGCCCGGTTAGGGAGTCTGTATGTCTATAAGTAGATATAATAGCTGAGGTTCAGAAGCTTACAGAGAAGATGAGACTCATGCTGTCATTTGCGTGGTCTGATGACGTGCAGTTTGTTGATGTACAATAAGTATAATAGATATCAATTATAAATAACTAGCTCAGACCCCACATGGCATGTATATCTCCTGGTTCCCTCTTGGTAGTAGTGCTGACATTGTTACTATTGGTGGTATTTGTGACATTGATGGCAGTATCAGGTAATGATCAAACACGGACTCTGGAGCCAGATTTCCTGGGTTTGAATCAGCACTGCACCACTCAACAGCCATTTGACTCTGAGCCTTGGACTCTTTGTTAGTAAATGGGAATGATGATAAAACTGACCACATCGGGTCACAGGCGGTACCTCTCAGCTGTTGTTATTCTCGTTGTTGCATTGTCATCTGGTCCAGGAGTGTGAGCAGACCACATGAGGCACCGTGGTCTGGTTGAGAGAATGCAGACCTTGGCAGTAGACTGAGTTAGTTTCGTTCCTGGATGTACGTCTGCTTAGTCGTGGGACCTCAGGAAAGTCACTGCACCTTTTGGATCTTTTCTTCTTCCTCATAAGACGGTATTTACTGCGCATGTTTGTTATGCGGGTAAGAGTGTGTGAGTGCCTCTCTTGGAGGCTGATATCTAGGAAATGGTCAACAAATGATACTGTTACTGATTTTAGCGTTCGTGGGTTTGCTTAACAACTCAGCGATGTACGTGGGTCCTTAGTCATCAGACGTAGTGTTTGAGCTGCTGTTTGCTTTAAATAAGACTTAGAATTTTAATGTGAGCAAAGGAGGTCAGACCAGTCTGGAACCGAATAAAGTTGGTTGCTTAGCATTTGGAATAGTTATTATAAATGTAATCTGAGCCTCTGCAACTTTTATTTTAGGGAGGTTAAGGTATTTTCCCTTAGTAAATTTTTTTTAATAGATTATATTTTGGGGAGCAATTTTAGGTTCACAGCAAAATTGAGTGGAAAATACGGATAGCTCCCATATACACCCACACATGCGCAGCCTTCTCATCAACACCACCCCCCTGCCCCCAGTGGTACCATTGTTACCATCAGTGAACCTACACTGACACATCCTTATCGCTTGGAGTCTGCAGTTTACATTAGTGTTCACTATTTTTTTTTTTTTTTTGTGAGGAAGATCAGCCCTGAGCTAACATCCGTGCTAATCCTCCTCTTTTTGCTGAGGAAGACCAGCTCTGAGCTATCATCTATTGCCAGTCCTCCTCCTTTTCTTCCTTGCCCAAAGCCCCAGTAGATAGTTGTACGTCATAGCTGCACATCCTTCTAGTTGCTGTATGTGGGACGCGGCCTCAGCATGGCCGGAGAAGCGGTGCATCGGTGCGCGCCCGGGATCTGAATCCGGGCCGCCAGTAACGGAGCGCGCGCACTTAACCGCTAAGCCACAGGGCCCGCCCAAGCGTTCACTCTTGGTGTGTCCTTTCTATGGGTTTTAACAAATGTATAATGACATGTGTCCACTGTTATCGTATCATTCAGAGTTGTTTCACTGCCCTAAAAGTCCTCTGTTCTCTGCCTATTCATCCCTCTCTCCCCCTTAACCCCTGGCAACCACTGATCCTTTTACTGTCTCCATAGTTTTGCTTTTTCCAGAATGTCATGGAATGTAGTTGGAATCATGTGGTATGTATGTAGCCTTCTCAGATTGGCTTCTTTTAAGTAAGGCAACAATTTTAACATCTAAATTCTGTTTGTTTAGAGAAAAATATATCTGAGAAGATTGCCCTCTTAAACTCAACATGTGTCTTCCTTCAAGGAGCCCAGAGACAGGAGTGGGGGGGACTCGTGCCCAGCAAGCCAGATCACCAGCCAGCCCCAAGGCTTAGCAGGTTGGCATGTTGCAACTGCATTAGGCTTCACACCTTCCTTCTCATGATATTTTTAACTGTATTGGACTGAGTCCACAGTGTAGAGTTATCAGTAGGGCTGGGTGGAGACACATGGGCAGGCTAGTGATTAGGTGCCTCTTCAAGCCTTGTGTCCTTAAATATTTATTCCGTGTTTGTTCATTGAAGAGGCTGAGTCCATGTGTAGGGGAGGAACAGAAAAGGAAGCAAATTGGTTGGGCCTGGTACACCCCATTTAGCAGAACCTTAAAAGTCAGTTTGGTGATTATCAGTTGTTAGAAATCTCATCAACCACTCCTTCCCCTAGTAGCTTACCAGAATCTTTCTTCCAGTAGGAGCAGTTTCTGGCAGCTCCCTTCTTTCCGTCTGGATGTGCACCCAGTGATGTAGTAGGGTCTCTTGCAGATCTGTGCTCTGGGCAGGTGCCCACCTAACTGTTGCCCACCTGACTTGGTGGTCCAGCCCTGACCTTTGTGGAACTTAGACCAACTTGGCTTTTCTTTTTCCATCTGGACCTGTAGTCTCTGAGGAAATCGCCCTTGGCCCTGTCCCAGTCAGAGGGGAGAAGCCCTACCCACAGTTGCCCTCTGGGTGGCCGTGGTGCTGTTCACGGACAGATGACCCGAAAAGCTGGCGCTGACCGCTTTCTGTTCTGCTCCTAGCTGGAAGCCCTCATCTGGGAGATAAAGGGTGGAAAATGAGTCGGAGAAGAAAGACCTAAGGATTATGAAAGAGAGGACTGGGGGCTGGGCAGTTGTGTGGAACAGTATCTGTGAACACCCAGCGTGCCAGTCATCTAGGGTGGAGGTTGCAGCCATTTTCAGTCAAGGGCTGGATACGATTTGGGCTTCCTGGGTTGTATGGTCTTTGTCACGTCTGCTCAACTCTGCTATGGTGGCGTGAAAGCTGCCGTAGCTAATTGTGAAGGAGTGGGCGTGGCTGTCCTCCAAGAAAACTGTCTTTATTGACACGTCCATTCTTAGCTTGCTGGCCACACAGAAGCAGGCAGTGAGCTGCATTTGGCCTGGGGGTGGAGTTCGCTGACCTCAAGTTGGTAAGTCTGCTGGGGTCAGTGCTGCCTGTGTGTTCTCTGTAGAGATCCTTTTTGTGCTCACTTAGTAAAGCTGAAACATAACTTTGGAAATGCTAAGCGAATCCAAGGAGTGGATGTTTTGCTGACCTTTGGGCAGTACGGGAGAAGCATTCCCCCTCGAGCTCCGCAGAGATAGTGGCAGAGATAAGCAAAGTGAGAACCACAGGGAAGGCCTTTTGTTCTCTGCTCCTACCTGGGAGGGTCTGTGTTTGTTTTTCACGAGGGAAGCCAATCTTAATCTCCACACATGTTCTTTGTAAACGAAACTATATTATTTATATCCGAGAGCTCTTTCATTTCAGGTATTTTGTTGGACTTTTTTTTTTTTTACATTTTTTAGTATTTTTAGTATGCGAATGCCATGTCAACTTTGTTTGAAAGGTAGTGATCTCTTAAATGGATGAAGCGTGAGCCTTGAGGGCGGGATGTGCCAGCATCTGAAATGCTTGTACTTCTAGGTCAAGAGTTTATTAATTTTCAGGTGATAAATAGCTATCATTAATAATTTATTTCATGTTAATTTAATTAATGTATTTTTGCGTGTTTAATTATCTCCTCTAATTTTTGTCAGCAGGATCCATACTACAGATTTAATGACCTTGACTACAGATGGATCTCCTTGGATAACTGGACCTATAGCAAGGAATTTAGAATCCCCTTTGACATTAGGTACTTATGTGTGTATATCTATATATTAATTAATTATTATTATTTGAGCTTTTCTTCTTTTTCTGTCTCTGCAATAATCTTTTGTTAGTTTAGGTTGCATATCAGAGTTGTCAGATTAAAGCCTTGTACTATAAAAGTGAATATGTGATTTATGTTGTTCTTTTTTTTTGCTGAGGAAGATTAGCCCTGAGCTAACATCTGTGCCATTCTTCCTCTGTTTTGTATGTGGGTCACCTCCATAGCATGGCTGACGAGTGGAGTAGGCCTGTGCCCGGGATCCAAACCCACGGACCCCGGCCACCGAAGTGGAGCCTGGGGAACTTTAACCACTCGGCCACGGGTGTTTTGATTTGTATATGAGGATGGTGCCTCTGATCATCAGTCACTAAATTATGTCTTATTCAGTCATTTTTCTAGTGATTATAATGCAGTCACCTAGACTGAGTCAATTCTCTTATTTGCATTTCCTTCTCCCTGCCTCTGGTAATCAATAAGAGTATATATATTTATAATATTGTCAAGTAAGGTGAGAAATACGTCATTTGTTTGGTGGGGTGTTACGAGAAACTATGGCATTGGCCTTATATTATGTCATGAGACCGGGAGGAAAAGCCTGGTATAGTTTTCGGTAATGTAACCCAATTATATCTACCACCATTATTGCTAAATTAAAAAAAAAAAATCCTTCTGTCCCTTTTATATGACTTTTTGGGTAATTATTTACTAGCCCCCTTACAAAAGAAATAAAGCTAGAATTATGGTGCTCAATATCACAGAGTTACTGTGCTCCAGGCTCTTATTTCCAGATAATACTTAAAATATCTCCATTAGGGGTCCTCTTTCACCTTGAACTCAACATATCCAAAATTTAATCAGCTGACTCTCACTAAAGCTTACTTTATATTCTAACAGCCTCATTGCTTCTCTTAATGTAACACCATTTTTCCAGTCTTCTATGCCTAAGGTGCTTTTGACTCATCATATTTTTTCTTCGTCGTCTTGTATTCGATCTGTTTCTGAGTCCTGTTAATTTTTTCTGTCATTTCTCTTGATTCAGCCCCTTTTTCCAAGTTTCCACCTTTGCCTAGGCTTTTATTGGTGAGTGCCTGGAATTAGGCCAAAGCTGCCTAAGTAAATTTCTTTCTTTGTCTTCTTATTCTCTTGTCTTTCTTATGTAGAAACATTAGACTCATCTTCCTAAAATACTGATTTTACAATAGTGTTTTCCTTTTGATTGGAAAATCAAGTTTAGTCTTCTCTGCCTGTCTGTGAAAATACTGCTTAATGTTGCTGATATCCTGTATCCCTTCTGCCCTGCTGACTTATCCAGCCTTCTCCCCTTAGCTTCCCAGCACTACTTCTGCACCCGAATCAAGCCTGTTACCTTGATGTTCTTGATGCTGTTAGCACTTCCTTGTTTGGTTTTACTCTTCCTTTGGGGGTCTACCCTCTACCTAGGCATTGCTACTCATTTAAAAAAAAAAACTTGAAATATAATTCACATACCATATAATTCACCCATTTAAAGTGTACAGTTCAGGGCCGGCCCCGTGGCTCAGTGGTTAAGTGCACGCGCTCCACTGCTGGCGGCCCGGGTTCGGATCCCGGGCGCGCACCGACGCACCGCTTCTCCAGCCATGCTGAGGCCGCGTCCCACATACAGCAACTAGAAGGATGTGCAGCTATGACATACAACTATCTACTGGGGCTTTGGGGGGAAAATAAATAAATAAATAAAATTAAAAAAAAAAAAAAAAAAAATTGTACAGTTCAGGGGCCAGCCTGGTGGTGTAGTGGTTAAGTTTGCGTGCTCTGCTTCAGTGGCCCGGGGTTCACCGGTTCAGATCCCAGGCGTGGACCTACACACCACACATCAAGCCATGCTGTGGCAGCGTCCCACATACAAAATGAGGAAGATGGTACAGGTGTTAGCTCAGGGCCACCCTTCCTCACCAAAAAAAGAAAAAAAAATTATAAAAGAAAATAAAGTGTACAATTCATTGGGTTTTAGTATATTCACAGAGTTGTGCAACCATCACTATAATCTATTTTAGAACATTTTCTCACCCCAAAAAGAAAGTCACACCCATTAGCAGTCATTCCACATTCTCCATACCCCTCTCCCCTATCCATATCCCAGCCCTACGCAACCACTAATTTATTTTCTGTCTCTATGGATTTGTCTTTTCTGGAAATCTCATATAAGTGGAATCATACAGTATGTGGTCCTTTGTGTCTGGCTTCTTTCACTCAGCATAATGTTTTCAAAGTTCATTCATGTTGTCACATTCACCGGTACTTCATTTCTTTTTATTGCCGAATAGTATTTTGTCTTTGAGACATGCCACATTTTATTTATTCTGTTCTTCTTTAAGTTCCTCTTTCCTTCTTGAAGTCTTTCCTTATGATATAAACTGTGATAGCACTTGTATTCTGTCCAACAAAACTGTACTACAAAGTCGAAGAGATTGAAAGTTTTCTCTTTACTTTCTGTGTTTTAGGCTTGAATGCCAACCAGATTGCAGACTCCTTAAATTCAGAGACCGTTTTAGTTCCCTGTAAGGCTTAGCAGAGTGCTGGGCACATCATAGTCACTCATAGATACTTGTTAGTTGGTTAATGTGTTTTCTTAGATAGGGTCAGTAAAAGTAATAGTTTATAAAAACGTTTTGTGTCTGTTATTTAACTTGGTTCTCATAAGAACTTTGTGAAGTGCTAGAAAAAAAGTCAGTGCATTTGGAAATTGTAAGTTGTGCTCATGATTTTATGGTGATTAAAATATTATGAAGAAAGAGGGGCTGGCCTGGTGGTGTAGTGGTTAAGTTCGCATGCTTTGCTTTGGTGGCCTGGGGTTCACAGGCCCAGATTGTGGGTGTGGACCTATGCCGCTCATCAAGCCAAGCTGTGGCAGTGTCCCACATACTGAATAGAGGAAGGTTGGCAACAGATGTTAGTTCAGGGCCAATCTTCCTCACCAAAAAAAAAAAATATATATATATATAAAGAAAGATATGCCAGATCATTCAACATAAAAATGTATTAAACCAATGCTTCTGGAAATTTCATCTGAAACTGCCTTTTAAGAATGTATATTTTCTGTGAATTATTTATTCCTTTAGTTCTTAACTAGTTAAAAAAAAGACTCATCTAAGTTAATATTTTATACATCTTGTTTTAAAAATCTTTTCTTTTTTAGCAAATGGCAAAAAGTAAATTTGATTTTTGAGGGTGTTGATACAGTTACAAAAGTCCTGCTCAATAATGTTACTATTGGGAAAACAGACAACATGTTCAGAAGATACGTAAGTATGTCATGACATCAGGTCAAAAACCCCGAGTACGTGTTAATTGCGTGTTAATTGCCCTTGTGATGAGAGAAAGGTAAGTTTTTCGTTGCCTGTGCAGGCAGGTCCAAGCTCTTTGAAGCTCTGGGTAAGTTACTTTATTCTCAATTGCCACATTGTAGAATGATGAAAGCAATTCAGACCCTATGGAGTTATTGTGAGGATTTAATAAGCTCATTATCTAAAATGATTGGCACAGTTCTTGGCACTTGAGAAGTGTTCAGTAGATGCTGCTCCCTTCTCTATTATCTGTGATCCAGAGTTTCATGGGAAATGACAATAGACAAACCATTTTAAGAGAAAATACTCCTTCTTTTCTGGAATAATTACCTTAGGAGATCGTATCCTGATCTCCCATCTCTTTCAAAGGTATACTTTTCAAAACAAAAATAATGACTTAGACTTAGAAATATATGCCGTTCATACCAGAGAGCTAGTTGTCGTGAAGCATCTAGGAAATCCGTGGCAGTTCAAGGCTGTATGTAAATAGCCAGAGCAGACATTCCAGGGCTAAAGCTATTTTCTGATTGCTCCGTTTGCTAGGACCATCGTCTGTCTGTAAAGATAGCAGGAGAATCCTAGAAATCTACGTTTGGGTAGGAGAATGTGCTCAGTTAGAACTAAGACTAGGGTATGGGGATGGATGATAATTAGTCTTTGGGTGGTGAACATGATGTAATCTACACAGAAATCAAAATATAATGATGTACATCTGAAATTTATATCATGTTATAAACCAATGTTACCTCAATAAAAAAAGAAAAAAAAAGAACTAGGAGTAGGCAACTAAGTTATACTGTTTCAGAGAAGTGCTTTCTCCTGCAAAAAGGATAAACTTAAAGATTTCAATTCTTTTATGCATCTTTCATACATTCTGCCTATATGTAAAATTTTACATACAAGGCTACATCCACATCTTTTCTTTCCTTGTAATTCAGAGCTTTGATGTTACTGGTCTGGTCGGGGACGTGAACTCCATCGAGCTGCATTTCCAGTCACCAGTGTTGTATGCAGCCCAGCGGAGCAAAGCTCACACTTGCTACCAGGTGCCCCCAAGCTGCCCTCCGCTTGTGCAGAAGGGCGAATGCCATGTCAACTTTATTCGAAAGGTAATGGTTTTGCCAGTGGGTGGGGCGTTAGCCTTGAGGGTGGGATGTGCCGGCATCTGGAATGCTTCTTTGAAGACTCCAATGGTATTTCAGAAGTTGGGCATCTCTTTCCTGCGCCTTAGTGGGATTTGAAAATTTGAAATAAGAATGAAAAGATTATATGAATTTTTGTGGAAAATCTTTGTCTTTCTAGGTTTCCTTCCTGAAGCAGGCTTCAGAATTTAGGTAACATCAGGAAAAGAAGAAAAATATGTGACTGATACTATAACTTTACAAGTTATTTTTTAACGTTTAGGTTTCTCAAACTTTTCACCAGACTGTAAGGTTCGTATTTATTAGTGATTCTTGTTACTGGGAAGCCTTCTGCAAAATTAATATATTTGCTGACATGTTGTTGTATTTTATTGCTAGGTTCTCATAACATCTAACAAAAAGATAAAATCCACAAGGTGATTATTTTCCTTTGAGTCTGATCTCAGTCTAGATGACTTGGATTTATTCTAATTCGTGGTTGAATTAGTATTCTATGTGACATTTAGTTTTTTATTAAAAAATTTTTTAATTGTAGTAAAATACACATAACAGAATTTACCATCTTGACTGTTTTTAAGTGTACAGTTCAGTAGTAAGTACATTCACATTGTTGTGCAACCAATCTCCAGAACTTTTTCATCTTGCAAAACTCAAACTCTATGCCCATTAAAAAACAACTCCCCATTTTCCTCTCCCGCCAGTCCCTGGCAACAACCATTCTTTCTGTTTCTATGAGTTTGACTCCTCTAGGTACCTCATATAAGTGGAATCAAACAGTATTTGTCTTTTTGTGACTGGCTGATTTCACTTAGCATAGTGTTCTCAAGGTTCATCCATGTTGTAGAATATGTCAGAATTTCCGACCATTTTAAGGCTGAATAATATTCCATTATATGTACGTACCACAAAGTTTTGTTTGTTTATTCATCTGTCAATGGACATTTGGGTTGCTTCCACCTTTTGGGTATTGTGAATAATGTTACTATGTTACAGATATACAAATATCTCTTTGAGACTTTGCTTTGAATTCTTTTGGATATGTACCCAGAAGTGGGATTACTTGGTTATACGGTAATTCTATTTTTAATTTTTTGAGCACTTGGCCTTTAGTTTTGTTTTTTTTTTTTTTTTTTTGTGAGGAAGATCAGCCCTGAGCTAACATCCATGCTAATCCTCCTCTTTTTTTTTTTTTCCTGAGGAAGACCGGCTCTAAGCTAACATCTATTGCCAGTCTTCCTCCTTTTTTTCCCCAAAGCCCCAGTAGATAGTTGTATGTCATAGTTGCATGTCCTTCTAGTTGCTGTATGTGGGATGCGGCCTCAGCATGGCCGGAGAAGTGGTGCGTCGGTACGCGCCCAGGATCCGAACCCGGACCACCAGTAGCAGAGCGCACACACTTAACCGCTAAGCCGCTGTGCTGGCCCAGCATTTAGTTTGTTTTAACAACAAATGTAATCATTGGTTTCATTGCAAAGATACTAAGTGTATTTTTCCAGCACTGGTTAGCTAAAACCTCAGTTGATAAATTCTAATTATTTAAGTAGCTCTCTTTAGGCTAAATAGACTTACCAATAAATTACATTTCCTTAATTTAAGTACTAAGGTCAAAATTATACTTCCTCCTCCTGTTTGATTCAACCTATGCAAATTTGTGTCAGTGTCTCAATAACCATTTGTTCATACTACTATAACTGAGCAGTCTGTAACTGAGCAGTAGGTATTTCATGGAATACTTGTGTACTTATAGTTCTGTATAAAATTCATCTTTTTTTTTTGCCTTTGGCTTCAAATGGCACAGTTGTTTGAATACTAGAGGTTATACTTCTTCCCTCTCTTCGCTCATCTTTAACCTTCTATCAAAATGAGGACTTCTTGGATCCTAATGTGAAAAGTTTACTTTTCCAGTCATCAGTAAAGGTGTATATATATGTTATACATCTATCCATGTCGTATTTTCCCTCTACCCTCTATTCAATTTGTGGCATTTAAAATATACTTTCCGGTTATCTAGATAGAACCAAGTCCTTTGTCTCTGAAATCAGGAGCCAGACCCGGGTTTCTGCTCTCTCAGTATGGGGACTCGCCAGAATGATGAGCTGCCTCTCGGTGTTTCTGGCTAGATTGATGTGGTCCAGTGGGAAAAGACTTGACCTGGAGACCAAGTCAGGAATCTTGGATCTGAGTTCTGGCTCTATAAACCCAGAATGATCTTAGGCAAGTCCATAATTTGTATAAGGAGCTAATCCCTTCCCTTCCTTCCTGATTGTGTTGATATGAAGATACAGTGAAATAATGATGTAAATGCACTTTGCATACTATCAAGTGCTGTGTAGCTATTCAAAATGTAGGGTGGTGATATTTATTTTGGAGACTTATTTCTCTAATTATAGACTTCTAGGTATGTAACTGGCAAAATGCCTCAGCTTAGCTTATATGAAGTGAGTGGGATAGAGGTGGGGAGTGGGGTATAAAGAGGAAATATTATTCTCCATCTGGTTTTTTTTTTTTCTTTCTTTTTTTTAGGGAAAGTAAGTGAGATACTGGATATTTAGGGTTGAAGAAGAGGAGGCATGTTTATAGTACATTCAACTGTAGCAAAACTAATCCAGTTGGAGATATAAGACGTGCTTGTGCAGTTTGGTAAAAGTGCTGCTTAGATGGCCGGTCTTACTGAGTCAACACAAGACTCAGGCAAGTAGTTGCCAGTCTTGATAGGGAAGTTATTTGGACACTAGGTTTTCATAATATTGGTTTATTTCCTCTCTTGCTTGCTAAACACAAGCCTCTGCTATTTGTTAAACATGGCTGTATCCCCCTTATGTTTTACTGATACCTAAAATCTCTCGTATACCTACTGGCTCCTCCAGGAATGTACATTAAAGAGAATGTCCGCCTCACTCTGTACATCTGCCTCCTATAGTCAAAGGTCTCCAGCCACTGCTTCCTTAAGGTTCAGGAAGATGTGTGCCTTGTTACTAAGAGAAGAACTGAGAGAGACACACACTGGTCCTCAAATTTATGTTATAGGTTCTCTTACACATTTTTCTCTCTTAAGGATTAGTCTCTTGTTTCTGAACTCTTGACTTCCTATAAATCAGGAATTTACTTAGTTGATTTGTTCCTTGCCAAGGAATATTTTGTATTCAGATTTGATAGGCAGTGCTGTGAAACTTGTAGTCTTTGTTCACTTTCTCACTGTCCTTATGGTGATCAGCAAGGCATCTTTTATCATGGTCTCTTTGTTTCCTCTGCTCCTTGAATTCCTTGGGAACGTGTTCAGTTGTTACATTTTATTTTTTTCATCTTCTCTTAGGGAGCATCTGTCTTTTGACCCCCTGCTTTTTCCATTTCAACACAAGTCTCCTCGTCTGTGCTTCCTTCTCTGTCCAGCTTGGATGCTGAGACCCATCGCTTCAGCCCCTCTCTCAGCAATATTCTACATCATCCTCCTTGTTTTCCACCTACATCTCTGGCTGTTCCTTCTAAGTCTCTTTAATCTAATCAACCTCTTCCTCTTAAAAGTTATATTATTCAGGGGCTGGCCCGGTGGCGTAGTGGTTAAGTGCACGCGCTCTGCTGCGACGGCCCAGGGTTTGCAGGTTCAGATCCCGGGCGTGCACTGACGCACCACTTGCTAAGCCGTGCTGTAGCGGTGTCCCATATAAAGCAGAGGAGGATGGGCACGGATGCTAGCCCAGGGCCACTCTTCCTCAAGAAAAAAGGGGACGATTGGCATCGGATGTTGGCTCAGGGCTAGTCCTCCTCACCCACACACAAAAAAAGTTATATTATTCAAGCCTCTCTCTGTTCTAGACACTTTTCTCCTCTTATTTTATACCCTCTCTAGACTATCTCATTTCTGCAATAACCAGTCGAATTTTCAGTGACTCCTAATATTGTGTCTTCATCCAGACTCCTCTGCAGTTCCAGACCTTATACTCCATTGCCTGTTTGGCATCTTCACCGCCTGATTCACAGGGACCTGTAGCTCAGTATGTCTAGCACTGCACTTGGGATCCGAATCCTTCTCCCAGGGCTCCCTGTCTCGCTGAATGGAATACCATCCACAACAGTTGCTCAAGCCAGAAACCTAAGGGTTATTCTTCTTCTTTTTTTTTGTGAGGAAGATTAGTCCTGAGTGAACATCTGTTGCCAATCCTCCTCTTTCTTCTGAGGAAGATTGGCCCTGAGCTAACATCTGTGCCCATCTTCCTCTATGTGGGACACCTGCCACAGCATGGCTTGACAAATGGTACGCAGGTCCACCCTCGGGATCTGAACCCGTGAAGCCTGGGCCGTCGAAACGGACTGTGTGAATCCAACCATTATGCCACCGGGCCAGCCCCCTAAGGGTTATTTATTTATTTATTTTTAACAGTTTGCAGAAATATTTTTCTTTTTTGAAGAAGCAAGCATTGCTTTTTTTTTTTTTTTTGAGGGAGACTGGCCCTGCGCTAACATCTGTTGCCAATCTTCCTCTTTTTCTTTTTTCTCCCCAAAGCCCCAGTACATGGTTGTATATCATAGCTGTAGAGTTGTAGCTCTTCTCTATGGGATGCCGCCTCAGCGTGGCTTGATGAGTGGTGTGAGTAGGTCTGTGCCCAGGATCCGACCTGTGAACCCCGGGCTGCCAAAGCAGAACGTGCAAACTTAACTGCTACGCCACGGGGCCAGCCCCCTAAGGGTTGTTTTTGATTCTCTTTTTCCCTCCTCCAATCCATCCCTAAGTCTTTTTGATGATGTGGCTGTGACCTCTTCAATAGTTCTTGAATCTATTCCTTTTTACTACCATGTGTGAGTCCAGTCTGTCATCATTTCTTGCATGAACTATTACCTTGGCCGCCTAACTGGTTTCCCAACAAGCTCATTTGCCTTCCTCCAGTTAATTTTTCACAGAGCAACCAGAATGTTCTTTTAATACAGAAATCATCCCAGCACTCCCCTTCTTAAAACTCTTCAACAGAGCTCTGTCTGGCCCGTGCCCACTTCTCCAGGCTTCTCGCCTCTTCCCATTCTTCTCTGTTCATCTCCTGGAATGCGTCATATTCTCTTCCCCTCAAGGCCTGTGCACGTGCTGTTCCTTCTGAAAGGGATGCTTTCACTTCTCTCTCCCTTAAGCACATTGGACCAGTGCTGCTCTCCCTTCAGATCCCCATATGAGGTCGCTATTGCTTGGGAAGCTTGTCTTGACAGCCCCTGCCCCTTGTCTGCTCCCTGTCTCCTGTGCATTTGTGATTCATGCCTGAGTTTCTTGCTGTACTGTGAGCATTAGAAGCAGAAGGACTGTGTCTGTTTTGTACATTAGTGTACCCCCAGCCTGGAACATAGAAAGCTCTTCACAAATATTTTTTGAATAAATGAAAATTTTTATTTGGAGAGGTTGTATGACTAGGAGTGATTTATAGCCCTTGATAGGGAAAATAGGCCTTATAAGATGTTGAATATTTTTGCCTTCCTCCTTCTCCCTATCCCTAATAAAAGAATTACATATCTGAACTTAACAAACTCTCCAATAAATATCCTCAGATGGTTTTCATTCTGAACATGAGAATCTGATACTTAAGTGGTGAATTTAGACAGATGCGGACGTTATGAAGTGGTTTTAATTATTTTTCTCTGTAATGGAAATTAATTTATCTATGTCTTAGATAAATACAGAGCTTAGGAAATAATACTTAAATGAGAACAGTGGCCAAATCCTCAGGCTCTATTCTACAAATGCTCTATTCAGAAAGATCTCAGTACTTCCTCTTGGGGCTTGTTCCTTTTAAAAAGCTGAACTTATAGCCTCACACATTTTAATTAACTGTGTTTTGAAAATATTTTTTTTCTTTTAAGAAGTAGAAATTCAAAAAATTCTGCTTGAAACAGGAATTATTTTGAGACCCATTTCCTACTTTTGAATTTGAATCTTTGTAAATTAATATGGAAATTGAATGTCTGAAGGGAGAGACAGGTGGCCAGGCTGAATAAGATTGGATAAGATGTCTGCCCTGGCCACCTGTGTCAGTGTCTGAATTTTGAACTGCTTGTTTTTGGGCTATAAGTTCAGAAGCAAGCACTTCTGAATTCATACTGGAAGAAATAGGGTTTGGCAAGTCTAGCTAGAGTTTCTTAAACCTATTTATAAATATCTTTATCTTTCAATATGTTTCCTCCTTTTTCATAGTTATTACATTTAAACACAATATTCTTTATAGTTATTATATTTAAATATAATGGTCAGTTCAGAAATATTTTGGAGATGTTTAAAGAGTAGCTATTACTGTTGTGTTGCTTCAATGTAATATGCTTTTGAAGAATAAACGTACGTAATTAGATTTTATGTTCTTAGAACATTTCTGCCAAATTTAACTATGTTGCATAGGTTGACATATTAGTCATTGTATTAGTTATCTATTGTGTAACGAATTATGCCAAAACTTATCAGCTTAACGCAACATTTCTTATCATAGGTTCTGTCAGCTTGGAATCTGCAGGTGCCTCTGGCTCAGGGTCCGTTACGAGGTCACAGTGAGGCTGTGGGTCAGGGCTGCGGTCCGCTCACGACTCGACCGGGCAGCACTGTCTATGCCTGGCTCTCTCCTGTGGTTGCGGCAGGCCTCAGATTGGCTTCCAAGCTCACCCGTGGGCTTTCCACAGAGCTGCCTCACAGCCTGGCCAGGGGAGCATGGGGGAGAGTGCCTAGAACAGACGAGGCAGGTTTCTATGACCTAATTTTGGGAGTGATCTCACCTCTGCTGTATTCTGTGGGTTAGAAGTGATTCACTAGGTCTGATCCATACTCAAAGGGAGGGGATTACACAGGGACATGAATACCAGGAGGGGATCGTTGTGGGCCATTTCAGATGCTGTATATAGGACACACACACACACACACACACACACACACACTACTAGGGACTTGATTATGTGCCCCTCAAACTCATATGTTGAAGTCCTAACCCTCAGTAACTCAAAATGTAACCCTATTTGGAGATAAGGTCTTTAAAGAGGTGATTCAGTTAAAATGAGACTGTTAGGGTGGGCCCTAATCCAATATGAATGATGTCCCTATAAGAAGACGGAATTTGGACAGCACAGAGAGATGCTAGGGGTGTGTGCGTGTGAGGGCACAGTGGGAAGGCAGCCATCTGCAAGCCCAGGGGAGAGGCTGCAGAAGAAACCACACCTGCCAACACCTTGATCTTGGACATCCAGCCTCCACAACTGTGAGAAAATAAATTTCTGTTGTTTAAACTGCCCAGTCTGGTATTTTGTTGTGGCAGCCCTAGCCAACTAATGTATATATATATATATAATATTTTAAAAGAAAAGGTGTTTCATAATGTTTAAATTTTATGGTAATCAGAATCTTCTTTTTGTTTCTTTATCACTTTGAAATTACAGGAGCAGTGTTCATTTAGTTGGGACTGGGGGCCTTCCTTTCCTACCCAAGGCATCTGGAAAGATGTTAGAATTGAAGCCTATAATATTTGTCATCTGAACTACTTCACATTTTCCCCTATATATGGTAAGCTAAGAGATGTGATTTCTTGTTTTTGAAGTGTTTCTTGTTCTTTTTTGAACCTCCACTGTGCTACAAGAATTGGGTTTACAATTTGAATATACAGACATACTTTTCAGAGACTTTTTAAAAAAAATTTTGTGGTACACTAAGTTTATAAAAGTGAAAAATATATATAAACTGTGATTTGTCATGAAAATTTATAGTATAAAGCAGATAAGTAAGTAGGTAGATACCTTTTAATGTTTTTTGAACAAGAAGAAAGAAAGGAAGGGAGGGAAGGAAGGAGGGCAGCTCTGAGTTTCCCCGAGCTAAGTCTTCTTTCTCAGAAGAGCTGGGCCTGCTGCTGGTGCCCCTGCTGCTGCCTGCCCGAGGCTGCCAGAGCTCCCCCGATGGGGCCCTCGGCTGCTCGGGCCACTGGGCTGACTTTCTGTCGCTGCACATTTTCTCCTCTGGAGGCCCTGGCACACCAGCCATGTAAGAGTTGAAAATAAACTGCAAGGCAAACAAGGCATACAGAAAGTTTTGTAAGGTAAAGAATACTACTTTTGCAGTTGAAGGAACTATTCACAAGAAAGGAGCGCTGAATAAAACCTCAGAAATTTCCCTGATGTCAGTGAATCAGTTAACAGCCGTCAGTGGTGAGTCCTTTGTCTGGCGCTGTGTGTGTTTGGCGTTGCAAGAGAATGTAGTTGCGTGTGCTGACCTCCCTGACGTGAGTGGAGTGGGCACGGGGAGAGAAACAATTACCAAACCAGACAAGACGGCGTCATGGTCCTCTGGGATGGGAGCCCCGGTAGTTCAGAAAATCACAGCTCAGTGAGGATTTGAGGAGTTAGGGGAGTCAGGGTGAAGGTGGGGTGGGTGGGGTCGTAGATGACGGCTCCTGCTGCTCCCTCCTCCAGGAAGTCAGGGAGGGAGGACGTGTGGCAGCACAAGAGCTGCTGACCTCTGAGCCCATCTGTGTGTCCTGAAGGCAGAAGACAAAGCAAATCAGAGGTGCCTGATAATTGAGAAGGTTATTAGGTGCTGCTGCATTTTTAAATGTTGAAAAGGCATTAGAAGATCTGATTTAAATTGCACATATAAATGTGGCTGTTTATAGCTCTCTAGTTTAGTGCTTCTCACACTGTTCTTTGGAGGTGTAATCTGAACTGAGTTTGCTACTAAAATCAAATAGTGGTTAGTCCCCACCCATAATTTTTCTTAGGTATATATAATAAAACCTAGTGTAAGAAGGGGTCGGATTTTGCAGCAAGTTATTTATTTAATAGTTTTAAAGCTTAATGAATGTTTTAGATGGTTTGCAAAAAGTGCTGAGTTCCAGATACACTGATATCTGAAAAAATTTGAATAAGACTGCTCTAGTTTAATTAATTAATTAATTAATTTTATTTTTTTTAATTTTTTGTTTATTGCAGTGACATTGGTTTATAACATTGTATAAATTTCAGGTGTACATCATTATACTTCTATTTCTGCATAGATTACATCATGTTCACCACCAAAATACTAATTACAACCCATCACCACACACATGTGCCGAATTATCCCTTTGGCCCTCCTCCCTCCCCCCTTCCACTCTGGTAATCACCAATCCAATCTCTGTCTCTATGTGTTTGTTTATTGTTGTTACTTTCTACTACTTAATGAAGGAAATCATATGGTATTTGACCTTCTCCCTCTGACTTATTTCACTTTGCATTATACCCTCAATGTCCATCCATGTTGTCACAAATGGCTGGATTTCATCGTTTCTTATGGTTGAGTAGTATTCCATTGTGTATATATACCACATCTTCTTTATCCATTTATCCCTTGGTGGGCACTTAGGTTGCTTCCAAGTCTTGGCTATTGTGAATAACGCTGCAGTGAACACAGGGGTGCGTGTATCTTTATGCATTGGTGTTTTCAAGTTCTTTGGATAAATACCCAGCAGTGGAATAGCTGGATGGTATGGTAGTTCTATCCTTGATTTTTTGAGGAATGTCCATACTGTTTTCCATAGTGGCTGCACCAGTTTGCACTCCCACCAGCAGTGTATGAGAGTTCCCTTCTCTCCACATCCTCTCCAAAACATGTTGTTTCCTGTCTTGTTAATTATAGCCATTCTGACGGGCGTGGGGTGATATCTCATTGTAGTTTTGATTTGCATTTCCCTGATAGTTAATGATTTTGAACATCTTTTCATGTGTCTGTTGGCCATCTGTATATCTTCTTTGCAGAAATGTCTGTTCAGGTCTTTTGCCCATTTTTTGATTGGGTTGTTAGTTTTTTTGTTGTTGAGATGCATGTGTTCTTTATATGTTTTGGAGATTAACCCCTTATCAGATATATGGTTTGCAAATATCTTCTTCCATTTGTTAGGTTGTCTTTTCGTTTTGTTGATGGTTTCCTTTGCTGTGCAGAAGCTTTTTAGTTTGATGTAGTCCTATTTGTTTATTTTTTCTATTGTTGCTCTTGCCCGGTCAGACATGGTGCTTGAAAATATGTTGCTAAGACCGATGTCGAAGAGTGTACTGCCTATGTTTTCTTCTAGAAGTTTCATAGTTTCAGGTCTTACATTCAAGTCTTTAATCCATTTGGAGTTAATTTGTGTGTATGGTGTAAGGTAAGGGTCTACTTTCATTTTTTCGCATGTGGCTATCCAGTTTTCCCAGCACCATTTGTTGAAGAGACTTTCTTTTCTCCATTGTTGCTCTAGTTTAATTTAAAATTTTGAATATGAAGCTAAACATTTCTTGCTGAATATGAGTCAAGTTCTGTTTATTAGTTACTAGTGACTGGGTGAATTTTATTTGAATTAACTCAATTTAAGTGATGCTTAAAATTTAATTTTGATCAGTATAATCAGTTCTCCACATCAACTACAGTTTTGTCGTTTTATGGCAGCAATATATTTTGTACTTAACGTAGAGAAAAATATGTTTCCTGTTCACCTGTGCCCTGTGTGTATTAAGCAGTGATTTTTATATTTCTGATTAATTTTATAATTTCAATTTGGTTATTTGAGGTAATAAAGAAAATGGAAGCATAAACTTAGGAAAGCATTAGGAGAGGAACTTCCTTTATGAGTTTTTTCAGAATTTTTTTTCGGTTTGTATTTGGAAGACAGCAGTCATCACCGAAATCAATAGAAGTTGAAAAGGTGAAAAATAAAGAGGATAAGCCGGGGGCCAGCCTGGTGGTGTAACAGTTGAGTTTGCACGTTCCACTTTAGCGGCCAGGGGTTCGCTGGTTCGGATCCTGGGCGCGGACCTACTCACCGCTCATCAGGCCATGCTGAGGCAGCGTCCCACATAGAAAAGCTACAACTCTGCAACTGTGATGCACAACGATGTACTGGGGCTTTGGGGAGAAAAAAGAAAAAAAGAGGAAGATTGGCAACAGATGTTAGCGCAGGGCCAATCTTCTTCCCCAAAAAAACAAAATGAGGAAAAGCCAATATATTCTGGGTACTTTTATGCATTTATTTGGTACATACTATGAGGCAGGCATTGTGAGAGTTACTAAAAATTAAAAAAAAAAGATTAGTTCAGAATCAAAAACAGATACAGATAATTTTATTTAAAATCAAATATATTAATTTTTAAAACTTAAGTGTGTAATGAGGTTGATCAAAACTAATGCAAACAGTGGCTATCTCTGAGTGATATTCTACAGATAGTTTGTATTTTATTCTTCTGCTCAGTCATCTTTTCTAAATTTCTGTATTGAGCCTGTATTGTTTCCGTAGTTAGGAAAGAAACTAGTTAAAACAAACCAATCCCATCTAGTAATTTCAGCCAGCTCATTATGAAAGGCTAAGCTAATTTGTGTGGCTCTTTCTGTTTTCTCCCTATTGAGACTAGAAAGAGGAACTTTTTTGCTTTTCCAAGTGTTCAATTTATTTCTTAATTTAAACTTAGTGAGTTTACCCCAAAGATCAAATGATCAACCATAATTCCCCAATTTAATTGTGAATAGTGTGACAGAAAAAAGGTTGTTAGACTTTAAAAAATTAACTTGAAATTCCTGTGAATTAATTTACTTCATATATGTGTATATATGTATATCTATGTATTTTTCTTCTTTTCTGCTTTCTCAGTCCTTAATATAGTGGTTTCTAAACTTTGGCACTTTTCAATATCCTGTGGTCGTTTGTTTGATTTTGCCCTAACCTCAGTTTCCTAAATGATTTTCACATATTCTTTATGTTTAAGATAATAAAAACAAATTTATATTTTAAAAAAATGTTGTGGTCAAGAGAAAACAAGAATTACTCCCATTATCTCTTATTTATCTAGATATTAAGAGATACCTGTTCATTGATATGACTTTCTTTAAAACCTCATTAGAAAATATTTATTGGAATGATTCATCCTTAGCCCCGAAGTATTCTAATCAGGTTTTAAATAGCAGTAGCTATTTTCAATATTTTAAACTGTGAAAGATTGACCCTGGTATTGAAAAGGGAAGCCCAGATTCTTTTTATTGATTTTGGAAACCCAGCAAGATTCTGCTGTTCTTTTCCCTTGGGGAGAGGGTGGGGGACTGACCCCATCCGCTGGGGGAGGGGAGGGGAAAGTCTGGGCTGGACTTGGGATTCCAAAGGGGTAGATGCCCTAATTCCGAAAATTCGGACATTTATATGCAAATCATCTGGCCAAAAATGCAGATTCTGTGTGCTAGTGGGGGTGGTGGGTGGTGGGTGTGTGAGAGAGAGAGACATGTATTCATTTAGGGATTATCTTCTCCATTCTAGGTCTTTCATATTTGTAATCTGATGTGAATTGTTCACATTAGGCCATAAAATTATTAGGGAGGGATGATTGTCTAGTTTTATGAGTTTTTCATCAGGTTACATAAACGTACTAACTCCAAATATATAGTAAATATGTTCTGATGAAACACTACATTGTTTAATTTTTTGTTACCACAGTTAGAAAAAAATAGTACAGAGACATTTTTCAACATGTGACTGCTCCTTTTGAGCGGAGGCGAGCTGTGGGCCTTTGACCTGTGCT